TCTTGCATACCGTGCCAGACGCTATACCAACTAAGCCACGGAACGAACCAACGGACCTCACGAATTTTTCTATGTGCTTGCGTCGTGTCTTTGTACTTGGTCTTGCAACGACTTTTTAGTCGTAGCGCCATCTATGAGAAATCTATTGCAGATTTATCACCCAGTTAGTACCTTTACAGCTACCAGTCCTGGCGAGAGATGTCGCTATTCATTGTATTAAATAAATGTTTTTTCTGAGTGTTCGACTCAGAAAAAACACTCTGAAACTTAATTTAAATTAATCCGACCGGATAGAAGGAATTTTTTCTGAGTGTTCGATCTTTGTATTAATAATTACAACAAACTAGTGAAGTAATTTCACAAAAATAATTGAATATCAATTCAATAAAAATTTAATTAAATAATTTCAACGCCTACTATCACAAAAAAATATTGAAAATTCGATTTTTATATTGACTTAACACACAAAATCATAAGGAAAAAAGTTATATAAGTATTAGTAGTGTAGTTTATATAGATAACTCCGGTTTTTAAAAGCTTCCGAGGCCCTACCACCCCCCTAGGACTCTTCAGCACACACTGAGTAATAACCACTTTAGGAAACTATTATATATTGAAATAGATTTGGGAAAAATCTATTTTAATATATATATTTTTGTATGAAAGTAAAATCTGATGAATTGGAACAAAAGTTGTTGTTTACGATGTAAGTATAATATGGTCATGCGAGGTTGTTAGTATTTTCCAAATAACCATGTATAATTTGTAGTTTTTCATGAAGTTTGAAACAATAAAATTTCTTTTTATCAACTTACTATTTCCTTTAAGTTAGTGTAACACATTAAAAACCCTCAAAGTCCTTTGATTTTCTTTAATTGCAAAAGTTGTATCCGTGGTAGTTAAAAAGGCCAACGCTGAGTACAGTTGTTAACGGATTCCATTTCATTTTCCGCGAGGGTCTGGCAGCTGCTAACCGGCTCGCGCGCAGAATGTGTGCAAAAACATCCCAGCAACTATGTCGGGATATACGCAACAATTTGCCACATGCGATAAATGATGCGTCTTTCTTGGCTCATTAGCTTTCGTTATTGTACATTCTGTTGACTAAAAACAATTTTTTTTATCATGTTTATGTTATAAGACTTTTATTTATAATATCAAGGGACGCGACTAACAAGTCATGTGTCTGATGATAAGCAGTCGCAGTGTCACTCAGAGTTTCAAATAGCAAAGATATGAGAGACACTGCCACTGCGTCTGTCACCCAGAGACATAAGTTAACAAATCCCATGTGCCTGTAATTTCACCAACACCTTTACCCTTTAAAACCAACAAACTTGGTGGTAGAAATAGGTAAGGTGGCAGTACATTCCTGGATGAACTCTTCACAAGGAGCTCTACTGCTATCTTTAAAAGCTTGACTCTCATTTGTTTTGAAACACTTTTACATAGGTACAATTATGAGCACTTCAAGTTTATTCACTTATTTATGAAAACAAGGGTTGTGTAGAAGTTGACAGGCACTAAAATAAGTATAGTTTCACTGTTTCCGGTCAAATATTAGGCACACATGGATTCAAAAGTCAGTGATTTAAGCGCGGTGATTGTTGTATGGCCAATTGTAAACATAGTAATTTTAAAACGTAACTAGATGTCAAAATAATAATAATTTGAATAACATCAAAATAAATATACACACAAAATGTCTAAAATTTGACAATGACGTTAGGTATTTTCACTTTGTTCTATGAACTTCTCTTAACGTAAGTTGCTGATTTTAAATCATGCTTGCTGTGCAAAAAAAATAAAAATATAATTAGCCTAAGCCAAAGAACAAAATATTTTCATTACATATTGTTTTACAGGAATAAATACTATTCAATATAAGTCTAGCATTATTCATGTTTACATATTACTTATTATAATTTACTACTTAATAGCAACTGTTACGGACTATTGCGTGGGATTAGAACGGGAAGTGATCATTTTGTGCGCTCCAGCAGGCGTGTGTATGGATTGTATGTTAATTTGTATGGTTTTATTGGCATAACGTGTGTGGGAGGATCTGGATGTATGGCACAAATTGTTATCTGACACTTATTGTTTACACTTTGTAATTATTTACTAAGTAAATATTTATATTCACAATATTCGTATTATGACAAACTCAGCCTCAAAGATCTGAAATAACCTCTGTCCACCCTTACGTGAACGCAGATCACTTCACAATTTGAAAATACATTTAAAGA